AAAAAAAAAAAAAACTCTCTCACACGCAAAAACTGTGCTCGGAAAATAATCATAAATATAATCGTAAGAGTAGTGATAAATAGTGAAGCTTACCGTGAGCCTAAGCTCAAAAGCATGCGCCTAGGTGCGGAACAAGCCAAAAAAAGAAGCGCAAACTCGAAAAATAATTCTAAACATGGAGCCTGTCCTCGAAAAACACTCTAAAACATTACTCGAAAGATAATCCAAAATACCGGCCTGCGTTCGAAAAATAATCCAACGTATGAACCTAAGCTACTAACAGCGGATCTCCATACCGGCTGTTCAGACAATCTTTGCTAGGTTACAAGGAGCTGATAAAATTATCTTCCTTCCAGAAAAAAATCAGCTCTTACTTATTTTGCAGTAGTACAGTGAGAACAATACATTTTTCTGAATCCTTAAATATTTGCCACATCTACTTAACAGAAAAGTTATTTCTAGGAAGCAATGCTTCATGCTGGTTGTGTTCTTTTCAAATCCACAAAATTCAGGGTTTTTGGCCTGTTCTTTTTCTTCGATAGTTATACGGGAATGATAGAGGCGTGTCGCACAGTTAAAAACCTTATACTTTGGTCACGATATTTCGGGATTTGCCTTTGTATCTCGCAACGCGTCGTTCAAAGCCCATTTTGTGATGAAGCCAATAATTTTTATAAATCCTTCTAATCCGATAAAACCCTTCAGCTGTGTATTAAACGATCTAGAACCCTACAGGGTTTTGAATTTTTTTAATTTTCATGCAATTAATTGATGGATTTTTTGACCCGTCAACAGGTGGAATTGACTTAATATGTTTTAATAATGCAGGATAACGAAAAAAATTGTGGCAATGTCGCGGCCGACGGCAAAAACTTTCACTGATGATAATCTGATTGCGCAGTTTCAAAAGTAAGTTTATAATATCCCTGTCTAGAATTTGATATTTTGCTTATAAAATTAACTTTGCCCAGTCGTAAATTCTCTGGACTTCAGATTTATACCATTAGTCCAAAAACACAAGAGATTCTGAATATTAATGTAAGAGTCATCGCGTCAGATTACTTTGCGATTTCCAAAGCCTCAAGCTCAACGGATAATAGCTTAAGTTTGACTGGGACCAGAAATCTAATAACTGTGAAGGTTCGAATTCTGACTACAAACCATCCATTCTGAACTGTATGATAGGTTGTGTCCAAAAAACTTAGATTCATGACTTTAGCCATTCTCGACTTATTGGAGTCAAAGACAGAAAATTCAATCAGTTATTCCGAGTTTGCGATCACTTACAGAATTATAAAGTAATTGAAGAGTATAGGCGCAAAATTGCTTTGACAGGACCTGCTTTGAGAAAATCGACTAGATGTCAACATACGGTTATAATCTATCAACTATTCGGAATCTCCAAGGGGAAAAATTTTGTGTTTCCTTATAGACTCGGTATTTATTCCGTTATCAATCTGCAAATGCTTGGAGAACATGAATCTTGTGGTCCGCAACTGCTCCCGTCCGGCTTCACATATAATCCAGAAATACTGATGCAAAACGGAAGTAAGTTTGGCATCAAAAGGGGCAGTTCTGTGACCGTTATTCAAAGCTCAGGCTTAGCTTTCAGTCCGGTTCTACAACTTCATTTGGCCCGATTTTGGTATTCAGACTGTTGATGTGCTACTGGATATCGTAAAAGTCGCCTATTTCTCGCTCAAACAAGGCCAGTTGCAAATTCAAATACAAACAACACTTTTTTTGTCGAGTACTCAGTGTGATTTAGAACAGCTAGTCAAGGAAAAGAAAAAACTATGCAGCACTGTAGCTGAAGTAGGGAAAGTTGAGTACACTGTTTACATCAGTGCGGAAAAATTAAGTTTTAAATTGAAAACTAATAAAATTTGTTGTAACTGAGTGTAACAATTGCTACAGGAAAATTGGCAGTTCACTGTCATGCGGGCCTTGGACGTACGGGCGTTGTTATTGCTGCTTTCATGATCTGGGCCAACCACTGCTCATATTCTGAAGCTATAAATCGAGTTCGAAGTGCCAGGTACACCGAACCCTGCATTTTTTTTTTTTTGACTTTTTGATAAACATCTGCGTTGCATTAGTACATAAAAACGAGATATGCGCCTGCTCTGAAATATTGATTTTAACTCAAAGACCACGAAAATTAGAAGCTTAAAGATTGGAACAAGTTTTCTACAGCCAAAGGCCTTCACCTCGAAACAAGATTTTAAAACGGCCTTATATCCTGACCTTTGAAACCAGACTTATATTCAAGAAAATTTTGCGACTTACGGAAAAGAAAGATACAAGCTTGCGAAAGGAACTCTGACCGTTTATGAGGTCCAAAACTCGAAATCAGCTTTCAAACTGAGCTAAACCCTCACGTCTGATTTCAGGTCCGAACTCGAAGAAATTTCATAACTCTATGATCAAAAAACTTGCAAGGTTTAAATTTAAAAAATGAGCTCTTCAGTCACGAATTTTTTTCGAGCAGCTAGGAAAGTATTTTGCTGCTTGTTTACGAAAAAATGCAATGGCTAATATTTTTCAATTACCAGTTTTCTAATAGAATCAGAAGTTGTAATGTTGAAATGTAATGTACGCGCTTCATGGGCAAGCAAATTGACCTAAATACCTTCAAAAAGGGCATGTCGCGCACCTTGCTTCCATCTCCTGCTCCCAATTTTCTATTCGCGTTAGTCGGCAGAAAGTTTCGAAAGTAAAACTTGTTTAACATTTCATTTCTTTCAAATTTGAAGATTTTTAAGTTTGATCTTCTTTTGCATCATTTTTTGGAAAAGTGGAGCAAATTTCAGACCCAAATCAATACAGAGCAAAGGACAAGTTAAAATGGTAAAAGATTTTTGGAAATTTGTAGAAGACAACGGTGCAGCTTTGCCACCTCCAGGAAGAGTTCGAGTTAGCGATTATATGCAGATGCAGAAAAAACTACTTTGCAGTAGTCAGTCCAGAAAATACCATCACATTCCTAAGGTGCAGTTTTCACCAATTATTTTCAATGGCTGGAATGACATACAACCTGAAAGCAACTAGATCTGATCGAGAGGTCGTATGTGGCACGCAACAGTCTCTAAGTCTCATACTAGGCGTTTATATGATTCTTGTATGATACAGAAACAAAAAAAAATACAATGAAATTATTAAATCGTGCAGTGACGTTAGACTTTTTTTTAAAAAGAAAATGATTTTCGATTCGCGAGAACTTTCGAAAGCCCTGATTCATATCCATCAAATTTTCGAAGAACTTTAATAAATCAAATCTGTTGACAGCAGTCTGTGAAAATAACTCATTATGAAACAAATAAGAATGCGGTCTGAAACAAAATTTCCTCAACTTTTGCTTCCTACTTGATATGATGGCACTTGGAAGTGATATAAGTGATAGCACTTTGTCATCAAAACTCCTTGATGTGGCTTCAGCTCGCCCCTTCTTAAGAGTTGCACAGCAAATATACTGGAAGCTATTTTGCACCAGATGTAAATCACCGTTGGTAAGAAGCAATGAATGGTAAAGAGTCTGATTTTTTCTTTGGCAGATACGGATAAACGACTGGAGCATATGAGAAGCTTTCAAATACCACTGTAGAAAACTCTCCAGCACACAGTTTCAAAACAAACCGAGAAAACGTGAAACGATTTTTGAAAAAAATCTTTGGAACAGCACCAAAGCTATACCCAAAATACGTGCTGTCGCGCTGACAACTTAAGATTAAACACACTTAGAGCTCATCCACATTTGATTTAATACCAGTTGAGTGCTATAGGTGTTGCATGCAATTATGGAGGAGCTTCTAACTGTTGCGCACGGCGAACTAAATGGGCAGACAAGGCTCTGGATTAGAAGCGTGCTAAGATGCACATCGCAAGGCAGTCGCGAGTACCTCGAAAAGTGGCCAGCTCGATTGCCGCTACTAACGTATGTGTAATCTTTTTGCATTTTTGCAATTCATAAAAATGCATATTGTCAGTGTGTGTGTATTTGGATTTTTGTTACCCACAAATAATCGCTAACGCTGAAATTTCACAAGGATTTTCTTAAACCACGTGCCTTCTAAACATTTGAAAACCAACACTTGTATATCGTTAGTTTTTTTAAACTATTTGTTAGCATTTTTACAAATGTTTTTAAGCACGCCAACAAGAGTCGTTTATTTCGACTCTATCCAAAAATACAGCTGCACGGAACAACAGAAATTGGGGGATGTTTGCGTGAGTCGATGTGGACTTGTCTAATCAGTTATTATTTGAATCCAACTAATAATTTCCCATAGTACAAAAGTTTAAGCAGCTGCTGCGCCAACAAGCTTGACCGCAGTTCTTGATTTCAAGAACGTTGTTCACTTCTGCTACTGCGAATGAAGAGACAGATTGCAATATTGGATGAATTATTAGACTGGCTTTTTTATTCAAATTTCTCTAGCAATAGCTTTCATTGCAGAAAAATGAAAGCACAAGAAATCGATATTTGCATTAGTGGCATATTGGCTAACCGGTCAGAAACAACTGATTTGGGAGAGAAAACGGCAAAAATCAACAAAGCCGCTTTCAAAATGAGCAACTGCAAAAAATTTGTTCGCACTCATTTGCGTGGTAATATACTTCTCTTGCTGGGAACTCTGGATCAGCTGATGAATTCATTTATCAAGCCAATAATACCCAGGGAGCACTTAATCATGGGTCCTGAAAGAAACAGTCTACATGAGGTAATTCAGCATGTGTATTGTCTTATAATAAAAAATTTAAAGGTTCAGGTAATAAGTGCCAAATTAGCTGCTACTCGGCATTAAATGTCACGTAGAGGATGCACTGGAGAATACTCATGCTCTTTTTCTTGAAGGAAATGAGCTTTAAAACTCTCCGTCTGTATCTTCAGCTATTTAAAAAGTCCTAAATTTTTCATTATTTAGAGGATGGAGGCAAATTTTTGAGTCTTATGAGTCAAAACAAAAAAGAGATCTTAACTTTATTAAGTCTTGAAAACATGGCACGTATTCCCTGCATTTTTGATGCATCGAATGCCATTAGCATAATAAAAGAGGAACATGAGGCAATTCCTTTCTCAGTCCCTCTATCAACTTTTTCAACGGAAATAAGATAAACTACCTTTTTTAAACTCAGCACCTAATTTTTTCCCCATTAAATGCTCATTTGTCAACTAAAACAGTGTTTGAAAAAGTTATCCTTGAAAAAAAAAAAAAAAAAAAAACTGAATCAAACTTGATGAGAGTAACGCGTCCAACATTCGCCACATCAGCGTTATGTCTGGTAAACGGGAGCCGAACCCAATTTCGCTATAATCGTTTTGGTATAAAGAATTCACCGACTAATTATCAGACTTACTCATTAGCAAAATTATATCGGAAATCTTGGCCTTCATCGAATAAACTCTTCATCTACAAAGCATCCCGACGGATTTTCTTCCGACATTTTTTTTCAACGAAAGATGCCGTTGCAGCTCTAATCGCACAAGAATATTGCATCTGCTTTTGAGCGGCTAGATTTCCATTACTTTAAATTGTCCGGTATTAGTGATGCGGCAGCCCTTGATGAAGTTTTCGATGATGGATAATTACATTATGGCGGCGGATATTAATTGAGGATATACAGCTTAGGATCGATAGGCCTGGAATAGCAATACATAGAGTATGAGGACAATCGCAACACCATCACTAGCATCGGATTGCCAAACCGATTGCCTCGGCGGACTTGCTGATTTTGGTAACTGAATTATGCAAAACTGAAGTAACCTGCTCAGAAGTCACCTATTTTTTGTTAAATAGCCACTAATGGCTCTGAGAATGCCTGTTACTTCCAGGATTGGCAGTGCTTCTTTCGATATATTTTGACTACAATGGCATCACTGAGCGATGGTAATTACGTAAATATTTCAAAGTTCATCACGCGTTGGTACCTGGGCACACTGACTGGTGTTGATGATGTTGTCACTGCTCTGTGTGATCGCTTGTTAAAGACCTGACACCTGCTAAAGCAGGAATCAAAACCATGATCTGCTATTTTGGTGTAAACTGTGTGGTCAAAGTTCATTTCGCATACTGTGTAAGTTGAGGACGAGTTAAACAAACTGGTAAATACTTTTACAGCTCCTCAGCCCTGAATCCCAGAAGTGTTAAGAGCAAGAAGTAGTTGCAGCTGAGAGGCGAAAGATTGATAAGTTTCGCTTGTAAGTTCTCGCTGGAAGGCACAGTTGCAGAATTTGAAAAAAAAATTATTAAAGTTTATTAATTTAACAAAAATAGAACATTTCGTGAAGCAATACGTCCTACGTTCAATGTGAACAATTCATGTGTATATTAAGAAAACGTCACTTAAAAACAGGGAATAGAAATTTTTTGTGTCATGCATACCCGATAAACCAAAAAAACTCGGGACATCTCCAAATAGTCGCTGAATAAAACGTATCACGGCGTACTTATGCCTGTTTTCAAAAGCGCCCGCGCAAGCCTCACCTACTACAGATCATAATGTTCGGAAGAAGTAGTACTTAAGTGCAAAGCAGCTATTATTATCAGTACTGTAAAGGCGCAATCGCGTCGCCTGAGTAGAACCTTTGACCTGAAGGTCTCTCACTGACCCTTGACCGAAGCCGGTCATGCTAAAAGGGACAAAGTTGAATGGGAAAGGAGAGCTGGATTCTTATCGAAAATCCGATCTTCTGATGGGAACGTCGCTTTCCGACGTTTAGCTGAAATGTCATCGAAAGATGACTCAGCTTTTACAATATTCTTGCATTTTATAATTCTGACTGGGGAAGCAGAGGCTTCGCCTTTACAGTACTACCACATAACACAGAGCAGTTAGAAGACAGGAGATAACATGATTAAAGTCTCGAACTCTGAGGCACAGCCGAGCGCTGGAATCGGTGAGCCAACCGGGCTCGCTGAAGCTTATACAGTACACTGCAAGTTGCATGTGCATCGGAGTTGACTCGAACGTAACCATCTGCGCCATGAGCACTCTCATAAAGCGTTGCATCAAACATCTGTCGAGCTGCAGTAACGCACTCAGTGAAACACTTTGCGACCAAATGCTGTACAAATTTTGTGCTTCTAGAAGTCGGAGAACCCTTGAACTCCACGCTCCAAAATACGAACTAATCAGTCTCAAAAGCATCCTGCAGAACCGGTCCACCATAACGCTACGTAGGCGATGAGTAGGGACCAAGCCAAAACCATCAATAGTAGCCTCTGTTTGCATGTAAAATCGCCGGGAGAAAACTATAAGGTGTCTCACCGTGTGCAGTGATCATACGTTAATACACTTGGATCTTAGACAAACTAATCTATCAAAACAGCGCTAGGAAACGGAATTTCGTAACAACCGAACTAAATATCTCTACGTGCTCTTTAAGGTTAGTGTGAAGAACACTCCTAAAATAAACTATTCTGAAAGGCCACAACGATTTTAAGGAAAAATGCTACTCATCCCCGCTGTATATTGAAGCTTCGGAGTGCCATTTCACTCCAGTGACAAGCATTCAGAACGACTAATGATAAAACTATGCAGGATGTGACCAAGTTTCGAATTCACATATTCAGAGGAACTGTTAACTCAAAACAACGTTTGGATCACATGGTCACAGTGCTTATTTAGGGGAAAGAAATACGTCGAAAATTCGCCTAAGTTGCCAAAAATAAATTTGACTGAGGGATATAAAAAATACTACGAAGATTTTTAACAACTAAAGTTAGCCATTTATTTGAGCCGTGAATTCATATCTAGAAGACAACGGATTGTTTCTTGCGGTAAAAGTTGGGGCTAACCATTCTCCATAATTTCGTCTTCATTTTCAACGTTTTTGTTGCTAAAATCGAAATCTTCCATATTCGAGACCTGAAAAAAGAAAAGCTTTGGCAATTAAAAAAATTTCTCATTTTAAGGACATTTTCGTCCGTCTATAATAATCAATGGCAACGCGCACCAGGCGGGCTCATGCGATTATGCTTTTTTGCAGTATCTCATGCTGTTGTAAGTTCGCTTGGAATCACAGTAGCTAGATTTATGACATACTGGTCCTCGAACTTCAGGAAGTTAATTGAGCAACAACCACATTTACTTGGAAAGGGAACATTCTCTTAAAATTTCAGTTTTCCAGCTTTTTTGGCTCCCGAGTTAGCAGTTTTTTCCCAAAAAAATGTCGCGGGGCTACACGTGAGGTCCTGAGGGGGAGAATCTGAAGTCTTTGAGTTTTAAGTGGACGGGAGACATACCTCAAAATTTCAGCTTTCTAGCTTTTCTGGTTCCCGAGTTAGTGAATTTTCCTCTCTCTTCCCCTTCCCTCTCCTCCCCTCTCCCTTCCCCCGCCCTCCCTCCTCCCCTCTAAAAAAAAACTTTCACAAGGCTGTAAGTGGTAACCACGCGTACCTGAAAGCTGAATATGAAATCTTTGAGTTCCGTGTGGACAGGGAACACAACCGCCGAATTTCAGTTATCTAGCTTTTCTGGTTCCTGAGTTAGCGATTTTCTCACCAAAACTTCCATGCGTTCGTACACGGGGTCTAGAAGTGCATGAGAGTTGGTACCGTGGTCTTGGGGTGGCACTTGGTCGGAGAAACCACTGGCGAAATTTTGGCACCAGAGCTTGCTTGGTTGACGGGTTGAAATACCCTGACGCACGCGCACACACACACACACACACACGCACACACACACACACACACACACACACACACACACACAC